GTTGTTGTCTTAATGTGGAGTTCTTGGAGATTTTTCAATTTACTTTCTGTTTTCTGCTCCACAGGTAACCTGGCCAGTACACTTGGCCCAACAAAAGGTCCCATTCTTTGCCCTCAAGTGGAATAAAAAAGGCAATTTGTATCCTCAGTGCAGAAGTAGACAAGGTAAACAGATCAGAAGTTGAACACATTAAAAAAAGTGTTTGCATAATTCTTCATGAAATCTTTCAGTTATTAGGTTAAGTTGCACTTGCACGCGTCATTGATATAGCTCTAACGTACTTGAACATATTTCTCCCAGAAACAATCATACATGGAGTGCCCATACAGGAGAAGGCCAAACAACAATTTCCCTTCCCATTCAGGTATAAAAGCATCTTTCACAACTGATTTCCACTTCCAGTTTTGTATTAGCTGTCAACCTGGTTGTAGTGGTCTCAGTATAATTCGTCATCTTCCTGTTTTCATCTCCCACAGCTCCAGCACTAAGATGTGGACGGGCAAAGCAACAATACGTTTGCCTCCTGCAGTACAGAATGTGCATCCAAGTCTGTAAACTAGGACAGGACAGACCCATTAACATTCCAGGGACACACAGTAGTGGTTTTTGGTTTGTGTGGCGATTGCAATATTCAGTCGCCTCATCATTACTGTTGCATAACTTTTGAAAGGTCCAAAGCGCCCAAAGGGATTAGACATTTTTAACTGTCACTGTTCAAAATGAATAGTTGGTCTAAATGGTTGGATGAGAGTATTTGTAAGTATCACATTGGCATTAGGTTTAACATAAGACCTCAAGATGAATTTTGTGCATTTTTAGCGTTTACTTTTGCCTTCATTTCAAATGCTATCTGGAGAAACGCCAGACGACATAAAAGCACGGACTCACTGTACTCACCTACGCTCCTTTTTCCTTTTCTTCAGAATGAAGTAATGCAATCAAGTGGGATCCCACAGGGAACCCTTGCTAGCCCTCCTGCTCAGATGACTATGACGTTGAAAGGTGAGCTGAGAGATAAATAACCTGGTGAAATTATTGGACATCTTGTGCCATTTTTCTCACTGTTACCCTTGACCTGAAAGTGCTGGGCCATAAAGAAAGTAATGATGTATTCATGGTGGCTGGGGGCAAGGAAAATCCTCTCACTGACCCTTAAATCCCAATCCTAAATTTTACTTCACTACTGAAAAAAAGCCAGAATGTTTTTCATTTGTTTTAATTTGCTGTATGTGCAAACTGCAACTTGTGAAAATTCTTTAAAGGTAATTTAGATAAATATGTTGATTTAGACATTTTGCGGTTTAGTGGTGTTGTTTTATCAGAATCTTGGAGTGTATGAAGCGAGGAACAGTCATGTGTCCATGACCTGCAGGCCCACACGTAAGAATTTCAACCCATTAAGTGGTGTCCTCAATGACCATGGTCCTGGAATCCAACAATCCCAGTGCTGAACCTTCATGCTCGCCAGGTTGTTGTGTCTATTACATGTCTCTGTGGATAGAACATATAAAATATTCTACCTCAGTAAGTTTAGTTTAGTTTATAGTAAATAACCTAATGAAGGAAAATATAAAGTACTTATCTCCACTAGCTTTTTTAACTATTGCTGTTACAAGGTAGCATTTGCTTATTACTCTAATTAGCCTACATGAGTTATTGTTGCTATGCACATACATTTGTGATTTGGAGGCTGTAATAGCTGTTCCTATTGTCTATTAACATTGAGGTAAAGGAAGTAAATTTGCACGTGTTTCAACGCTTGATTGTGGTGTGTGATCATTCTGGTGATTCCATTCTCTAGGCAAAAACGCTTGATGGATAATTTGGGAATTGGAAAATGCATAGACATTATTTTAATAGTGGATTATATGCTACATCTTTATTTTGTTTTTCCCTCTAGAATGCGCAGATCATATATGAAATTCTCTTATAAAGAAAGAATAACCTAAGTTGGACAAAAGTTGTCCAGGAGAAGACATTCATCGTGGGGAATTTTTTTAGAATTTATGATATAATCAAGTGATGCAAAATGCTCTCAAGTTACAGAAACAGGTTAGAGATTCACAGAGAGACAAGCTATGGCATCTAATGAGATTAAAACTTCTGACGCTAGCACCTGTCTTAAGAGTATTTGTAACTCTCAATACTCTTACCGATATGTCATGTTGAGCACAGTAATATTCGATTGTTTTTCTATCCACTGCGACATTTTATTTTCAAAGTTGCGCCATAGTCAGCGGCATGCTCCAATGTGCATCCCATCTAAAAGCCATCTCTGCAAAGAAGTGGTGTAATCCTTGCGACTTGCATGGAACCCAGGAGTGACAATCGTGCGCAAATGGCTGCATACAGTCTCTAAGCATGGACTGCTACTACTAGTTAGTGTGTGTGTGACTTGACTACTTCAAGGGATCAAGAGTGGGTTAAAATAATGGTGATTTAGCAAATACATGTGTGAGTGTATAAGTACACCACGGTAATGAAACTCTATGCGATACCTGAGTATCTTCCGATACAACATTCCTGCATTAGTGATATTTTCATGGTTGAACAGCGATGACACTCTCTTATCATTCGTGTGTGTGTGATGTCACTGGATCACATAGAGGCAGACGACCAATACAAGTCAGCAACACTTGCGTATGACACCGATCCGTTTATCCGACCTGTCCTCCTACTGTCAGCAAGTAGCCACTCGTTGTTGACATCCCAACAAGGTTCGTCGTTAGGGTAGTGCTGATGAAGCAGCCATCTGTAAATCACAATTAACGGCTGATCAGCATGAAAATGGCACCAAAAGTCTAACCGTGTGGCTTTCAAGCCGCCTGATGGTCAGGACCATCTCTGGCCAGTGTGCGTCACATTTGACAAAAATGTTGGTGCACATACTGGAAATAATACAGAGTAAGGTGAAGAATGTTGTAATGTAATTGTACAAGCATCAGAAACTCTGAAGTAGCTTTGTTAAAATAGGTGTGTGGAGTTTACTGTGTTGTTGAATTATTTGAAACACTCAACAAGTCAAAAGAGTCAAATACAAAAAACACCCCCCCTAGTGAAGGTGGCTCACACAAGTAACCAAATGGAATAACAGGAATTGCACTCATTACGGATGCGTATTGGTGTGGAGCGATAGAATGGGTGGAAAATGCAGGTAGTGATTGTCCTTATGACAGAAGCATGAATGTGTGATACCTAATACCAAAATGTAATAATACGAAAACATCTAAGAGCATAGGAAAAAAAATTGACATTGCACAGCTAAAACAGACATCAATACACAGACGAAGTAAAAACTAAGAGAGTTATGTTCGATTGTTTTATACAAAACTACAAGTGACAGTAGATGAGGGTAGTTGTAGGAGTGGTTGTGTAGACTAGCTAAGAACGAAGCTAATGTTACAAGTGGCATAAGGCAGTGATTTCGAATTAGTCTCCAAACAAATAAAATCAAGCTGTGCTTAACGTAATGAAGTAGTATGTGAAGACGATAAGAAATATTTTGGTGTTGAAAAATTGAGATAATCTTTGGAAATGAGAAGAAAGAATGATGTAGGAGAGTTAGGAGGACTGAGAGATT